TGAACTGCACAAGGATGACAGTTTGAATACTGTTTCCAGAGAACGAACAAAACTTAAAACACAGTTTTGAGATTTGTAATTACTTAAAACTAGAAAATCATTACAAGTAAAGATGATATCAAAATACATAGAATTATCACCCCCTTTGATGTTATTTTATAAGAAAGTGTTTAGAGAAACTGATATATTTTATATATCATTTTATATACCATTTACAGAGAATTACTTCAATATTTTAGATCCTTTGTCTCTGCAATTTCTCTGCTGTTTATTTGAAGATGATTATTTGATGGCAGTTTCTTTTCCAGGGATAAGTTAAAACTACTCATTGTTCTCCATGATTTGTATTTACATAGAAATATTTCAACTAGACATACAGTTAACTCATTCTAAATGACCGACTGTGTATCATATAGAATTACATCACTTTAAAATTTATAATAATATGTAGTTCAAATACTAATTTAAAATGCCGTAATTTAATAAGAAGCGCACATAGTTTTGTAATTTTCCATTACCAAATAATTTTGGATTTTAGAGTATGAAATACATCTAATGATGAAACAAAAATAATTAATTTGGTTCAATGTTATAAATCAATTGTTAATATTTCATGGGGGACCAAAATCCATTAAATCTTAAGTAAAGGACAAAATTCACTGTAACAGGTAAATAAAATGCTTTTATATGCTTTTCTGATGGCCTCCAGTAATGCAATCAGAAGTTGTAGAAATCCAAATGAAAGCAGGGAAGCCAAATTTGGGGAGAAAAATATGTCATTTTATTAAACACAAGGAATGATATCATTTTTCAGTTCATCTTAAGTGAGTGAATGCAGATTCATGTTGCCACAAAATAAATGTGTGTCCTCTTCCCCTCTTTTAAGAAAGATCTTCAGGCCACATATCAGACATAGTCAGAATGTGACACATAGCTGTGTCAACAATTAACCTAAACCACACTGCTATGTCCATGGCAGAGCATCTACCTAGAAATCAGCCTGCCTTTCCACATGGAGGTCTGTTTGGTTGTTTGTTTTGTTTTGGTAGTATTAGGGTTTGAACCTAGGGCTTTACATAAGCTAGGCAAGTGCTCTGCTACCAAGCTACATCACTGGCATTGGACCTGGTCACCTTACCACTTAATCAGAAAGTAACTATCCATTGTTTACACAAAACTATCCCAAAATATAAACGTTGGAAGTCACAAGCTAATTCAAATGCAGCAGACTAGTTTAAGGCATTAGCCATGTTCTGCATCTGCCTTTGATTGATATCAGTTTCCTTAGTGACTCCTAAGCAGTGGGAGAGCCTGGGGACTCACTCTTCCCCGCTAACTGATTCAGTGCAGACTGTGTTTGTCTTAGCAGGAGAGGAGTGTTCATGTGTTGCTAGACTTTATGGACAGCAAATTCAATATTCCTGATCAAAGCCAAACCAAGTTTTAATATTAGGTCCACTTAGGTATATTGATGGCATAAGACTTTGCGTAGAAACTTAGTGAAGATGACAGATTAATTGCCCTCAGAGGAGCACGGATATCCAGCCACAACCACATACATCTTGTTGCTATTTCTTCTGTAGAGACACAGCTGATAGGAATCAGAGATCTGTGTTCTCTCTGTCCCTGAACACTTTAATCACTGGAACACAATAACTGCAGCATTGTTCTTTTCCTCTATAATTGTTTGGGATGTTTTTCATTGTAACATGAAAGCCATATATATCTTAGAAGTAGAAAGGGGGTAAAATCAGGAACATTCTCGCAAGGAGCCCCTGGTTTTCATTTGTGCACATTGCTGGTTAAATTTGTGATGCTGAGACCCCAAGAAGGAAAAAAAAAAACATGTCTTTAAGGAAAAGAGGAAACATATTTTGATGTAAAGAGAGAAAGAAAGGGAACAGAGAGAGGAAGGAAGCAGGGATAATGAGGTTGAGAATGCGAACAACTGAGTAAAACAAGAACAGGCTCACAAAGACTAAGAGTCCTAGAATAAAGGACGCTTCCTGAAGCCATCCTCTTTCCCGAGCACTACAAAAACAGTTTGGTTGTACAGCAAGGTATCCCAATGAGAAGGTATTCACTCTCACTATATTCATGAACTTTATATATAATTATGGTATATTAAAAAAGGTTTGTAAATATAGTATAAAAAGCAAATTTTTTTATACTATCCCAATGAACTGAACTCTTCTGCACAGTAGGCATGTTTTACTAATCCAAAGTAACAGTTCTTGCCATAGGGACAGGCTATCCTTATTTTGTTTATACACAGTGCCTCAACTGTGGTCCACATTCTGTATTAGATACAATAACATCAAGATCTTCTGACTTTTTAAGTACATATTTTGAATTTTATAGCTAACTAGGCTATAGTTATCATTTGATATATTTCTAATTATCACACAATCTGGGAAAATATAATTCATTTCATAAAACAGTATCTTAGTTGGGTTTCTATTGCTGTGATCAAAACCATGACCAAAAGCAACTTGGAGAGGGAAAGGTTCCCTTGAATTACAGGTCCCAGTCAGAGCCAAGGAAGGTCAGAACAGGAACTCAGGGCAGGCAGCTGGAGGCTTGCTGCTGACTGACTTGTTCTCCATGGCTCACTCAGCTGCTTTCTCAAACACCCTAGCTCTACCTGCCCAGGGGTGGAACTTTCCACACTGGCTTGTGCCCTCCCACATCAATCATTAATCAAGAAAATGTTCCCCACACATATCTACAGGTCAATCTGATGGAGGTGTTTTCTGTTTTAGTTGAGGCACCCTCCTCCCAGTTGACCCTGGCTTGTGTCAGCTGACAAACAAAAACAAAAACAAAACAACAACAAAAACAAAAACCCTCCAAAAAAACGTGTACGAACACACACACACACACACACACACAAGCACAAATGGTATCCAAAGGGGAAAATTGTCCCATTTAAAGAAAACTTCCAGGCTGGGCATATTGCTTGGTATTTGAGCACCTGCCTCGCATGCTGCTTGAGTCCCTGGATTTTATACCCAGTACCAAATACAAATACAAATACAAATACAAATACAAATAAAATGGAAAAACACCATCTAGAATTTCACTAGCTGTAAAAATACATGTTGAAGCCAAGGAGATGGCTCAATGTATAAAGTGGTTAGTATAGAATCATGAGGTCCAGAGTTCGGATTCCCAGCACTTATGTAAAAAGCTAGGCAATGTTTCATGTGTCTCCAACTCCACATCTAGGAGGGCAGAGACAAGTAGACCTTGGGGATAGTCAGCCAATCATGCTGAAAAAGCAAGCATTGTGTTCAGTGAGGGAAAATGTCACAATAAATGAGGAAGAAAGATAGAGGAAAATGTCTGGCACCGATTGTGCCCCTCTGCCTCTAAGGCAAAGAAAACAAACAAACAAAAAAACAACCACATGGCAAAAGACCAAACAGGTAACAGTATCCTAACTTTAGCTAGCACACTTTCTGCATTTTCTTCCTACATGTACCTCCAAAGACATTACTTCATTATATTAAAACACTTCTGTCCATTTCCAGTTTGATGGTTTGATTAATATGCTTCTGTGGAACGCAGCCATCAGAATTGTCTCCTCCATCTCTTGAATTCACCAAATGTATGTTCTTCCTTCTTAGAATTATTGAAACAAATTAAACACAAGATAGAAATTGATTCTAAGTAATCTGGAATTTGTTGGTGCCTGAAAGTCATTCACACTGAAATGTGAATCAGAAGCCTTATGGGCCAAGTTGAATGCTTGTTTGTAAATGCATCTGAATCCTTAATTACAATGTGAATGTTGAAAATAGTGGAAAAACATTACATCTCCTAAGAACTAAAATGGAGTTTTTGTGTGTGCAGATTATTAGGGAAGAAAGCCATAAAGACACAAACATGCAAACACACACACACACACACACACACACACACACACACACACACACACTGCCCATGTTTCCCACTCCTACACCCACACCCAAGCTACCCATCCAGACACAAGAGATTAGTCTTTAAATGTCCATGATTTCTTGTGGGGCATCATTGAGAAAGTTGGAATTCACATGCTTCACATATACTGAAAGTGTTTCTTCCAGAATGTTCTTCAGCATATTTTGTGGAAATCTACTGTGCTTACTAATGTTCTGTAGCAGATCTTTCCTTCCATTTATGAAGTTGAACAGAGGGGGCTTATATTTCATCTAGGCCATAGCACTGGATGCTGTGTGTGGAACACAGTGCCACAGCCAAATGTGGAATTATTACATTTGGAGAGATGGTACATTAGAGCTGTGTTCACCCAGATCCGATGAGAGTTTTATCCTTAAACATGGCGCTCAATGATGTTCCATGAAGGGAATTTATTAGGTGTATTCCACAACCTTCACATGCTCCACACATGAAAACTTTTAGCAAATTTTACTGTTACTGTGAAATAAAGTCGCCCACTGCCCAAATGAATTCTATCCATTTGTATTGACTTTAACAATGTGATCTTGGTCCCACTCCTGACAAGCTGATGCCCACTCTATTACACACCTTTTCTTTGCATTTTTCTCTACCCCTCTGTTAATGTCTATGTCCCAACCTTGTTTTACCAATAAAGGGGAAAGAAATTCTGGCAATTTCCATTTCTATTGTACACAACCCAAAACACTGACTGGCAAAGAACTATACCTCATCCCTTTGCTCTTCTACTGGAAACCTCTTTAATTGTGGCTTGAATTTGCTCATTAATAGTGTTTTGCCTATCAGATAGATATTATTAAACTAGAAAGAACTAGAACCATAAATGTAGCAACAAAATAAAGTTCCCTATTTTAGAGATCTTTTTTATGCCACTATGATGTTACACACTTTCTATGTTTTATCTCAATGATTAACATCATTCCTTAGAGATCATAATCTGAGACACAGACAGATTTAAAGCTGGGGATGGAGTACTCTTCCCCCTCGATGTCTGCCTCTACCTTCGATGCCTCCTAACACTCAACACAAATCATTCTCACCTTAGACCAGTCACCTACTCGCCACACATAGCATTTTGAGTAGTCTTCACAGTCCTCTGCCTCCCTGGGTCTGGTGGAGAGAACACACTTCTTTCTCGGGTTAGTGCATCTCACAGTCCTATGCCGTACCCCTTTGCCACACTTGACTGAGCACTGGAAGATAATATTAAAGGTTTGGACAGAGTCAGTACAGAGTATGGATTAAGACATGTCTAAAATTGTTTCTATCATTTCTCTTATTTTTTTTTAAAGGACAGCTAGTTTTCTAAACAAAATTGTCAATTTATCATTTTACATTATATACACTAGTATGAAATTATGTACACAGATAATTTTCTGTGTGTATACATGGGGGTGGACTTTGCACATGTATCATGTTAGTGTGTGTATAGGGATCCATGCACTTACACCCCTAAATTGCTCCAGAGAAGTTGCATGCAGTAAGTGGTATATATAATTACATTAAGGTATGTGTAATGATAATGTGATTTTGTCCCTGTGGGTTTGCATGGCACACAAAAGCTTGCAAGACTGTGTGGTGTAGTGAGCTCATCCTGGTCTAAACTTTAGCTTCATTGCTTATGTAGTGTGTTTTGAGTGCATCGATCCCTCCATGTTATATTGCCCACACATATAAAACAGTCAGTAATTAAGTTTCTTACATGTGTACTTATATTATTGTTGGGGACCATCACCATCCTCACAACCTCAGGTATCTGAGATAGAAAATTATTGCCTCTTAAGAAATAAACAGGATGTTCAGCAGAACATTCCAAGGTACAGGCTTTCAGTTTCACAGCCAGCTAAAGAGTAGCTAACCAGCTCAGGGCTATCTTTCCTGCTACAATTTACAGCCAATTACAGGTTAGCTAAACAACTTATGGTATGCCTTCTACTGACCTTCTCACTCTGCCTACGTGCCAGTGCCCATACCCTGGTTATGTACAAAACCCGCTTACATCCTGCCCACGGTCCTATATAAGCCTCCCCTGAGAAAATAAAATTTGTCAGCTTGATCAGAATATTGTCTTGCTGTCCATTCTTCATATCCCTTGTCCCCCATTTTCTTCTAGGTGTTCCCCGGTTCTTCGTTGACTGCCCCGCGGGTCCGGGCATATTATAAATACTTAACAAAATAAGAAATAAACTCTCATTGCTTGCACATATAAAATGATTGCTAAATATTAGTTTCCTTCTCCTTTATAATATTCAGAGACATGCAAGAAGTCATATATGCACTTTACTATGTGTGTCTCCAGAAGTACTCATAGTATATACATGAGAAAAAAAATCCTAAGTTTAAAATGTACATGACATGGCCAATATCTTTGCATTTTTATACTTCCAAAATTAGCTATTTTCTTTTTTATTAACAAAATCAGTAGGTCTCCATTTCAGTTGTCATGCAGTGATTTGGGACATGATTTTGTAGGAGTGAAGAAGGGCTAGAGAAGGAAAAAGGGAAATAAATAGGGTGTGCCCATACCTGGGACCACACTCCCGCCTCCCAAACTGTCATGCAGTCCTGGCCTTCACACCGCTGGGCAGTAGCAGGCTTTGGCCCCATGCAGTCCCTCTCCCAGGCTCTAGTCAGTGTTCCATTGTTCAGTTGCTGGGTACAAGCCACTTGTCTGCTCTGCACTCCTTTCCCACATGTCCGTGAGCATGTGGTCCATTCTGTCATCATCCACCTGAAAGTAAAGCAAGGGCCATTGGAAATAAACTAAACGGTGTCTGCTTACCATAGACCCAGCACTTTTAGAGTTAGCAGAAAGTTAGAACAGTAATTCACAGTAACTTTATTTAAATTACTAAATTGTAATTACCTTGATCACTCTGTATTTTGTACATGTCCTTGAATGTTCCAAAATTCTTGTCTCTATTATGTTGTTAACTCTCAAAGTGTGTGTGTGTGTGTGTGTGTGTGTGTGGATTGCCATTCCTAGTGTTCTGTATGTTAATTTGTCTACTCAACAAATACTTACAGAATAATCATGGCTATAAAATGACTTGGGATTGTTCCTCTTTTGCATTACACATGTTTGAAAAACCCATATGGACTAGGAACTACCACTATCATGGCCATTTACAGAAAGGCAAATTGCATCATACAGAGATTCAATAAGTTAGGAAACATACCTCCCAGCTAGAGCTGCACATGCTTTAGCCTAGCCACTGACTAGCTTTCATTAAACAGACATATGAGTTTATTAATATGATCTCACTTAGTGTTCTTTGGGACACTAAAAATTTATTTTCAGGAAGAAGGCAGGTCCTATGTTAGGAACAGTCTCCCTTTTCACTGTATTGTATTTATTTACTCATATCCTGGCAATGGGCCACAAACATATGAACACAGTGACAGTCCATCTATAATGGAGACAGCTTCATAGTGACTATAGGACAATGTTGATGGCATAAATATGTGAGACCAAAGGATGGTTTGCCACAGTGGAGTGGACCATAAAGATTCTTTTATATAGTTATTCCAGGGCTGGTGAAATGACCCAGCAAGTTAACGTGCCTGAACCCAAACCTAACAATCTAAGCTCAGTGGGGATTCATGTGACAGAAAAAAATAGTCTTCCCCTGCTAGTTTTCTTCTGACCTCTACATGAGTTCCTTGATAACTGTCCCTCCAAATAAATAAATAAATAAATAAATAAATAAATAAGTAAGTAAGTAAATAAATAAATAAGCAAATAAGAAAGAATATCCCAATTAACATTTTAGGTTGCAGTTGACTATGTATAACTGAAAGTGCAGAGTGGAGCTACTGGAAAGGGGCTAGTGTAATATATATAATAATATGGTGATGTATATTTAAAATAATTTACCTTTAAATTATACCAGCATCCTCATCTTCTATTTGTTCTAAAACAATCCATGTACTGAGTTTGCTCTGCAAATAGTTTAAGCTTTCACCTCAGGCCATTTCCTCATATGGGTTTTTCTGCCTGGATCTCGACCAGGCTCCAGTCAATTTCCTCTTAGGATGCTCTTCCTTTTAGGATGCTCTTCATCTATGGATGCCCTTCCTCTTTTGATACCCTTCCTCTTAGGATGTTCTTCCTTGCCACTCCCAGGAAAAGGCATTTCCATAGCTCTGCCACCTGGTTTGTGGCAACTCATAGGATTACCTGAATATATATATCCTGTTCAGTATGTATAATGTTACTTGTATGTATGTTTTCTGTACAGTCTATTTTACATTTCATAAGTGATTTAGTGTTTTTTTTCTCCCTTTTTGCAGGAGATGTGATGGTTTTACTGATTTGTCAGTGTAATAGGATCTAGAATTGACCTGGAGACAAATCTCCAGGCATGCTTGTGAGCGTTTGTTGACATTAGGTTAACTAAGCTGGGGAAAACCACATTAAATGTGGGCAATAATATTCCCTGAACAGGTATCTTGGGCTTTAGCAAAAGAAGAAAGTGAGCTGAGCACCTGTATCCATTACTCTGCTTCTATACTAAGTGTAAATGTGACACACCTGTACCAAGTTCCTGCCATTCCAACTTCCCCACCCTAATGGACTGTACCCTCAAACTGTGTGCCCAATTAGTTCTTTGGCCCCTAACTAAGCTTCCTGTTCTCTTCACATTTACTTATCTATTATGTATATGAACGAATGCATGTGTTTTTAGATTTTAGGTATGTGTTTCCCATCATACATGGGAAGGTGAGAAGACAAGTCATGGTAATCAATTTTCTCTTTCTACTTGCGGGACTCAGAAATTGAACTCAGGTAGTCAGGCTTTGGGGCAAGCATCTTCATCCACCAAGCCATCTCATACCCCCCTTAGGATGCTTTTGTGAGGATATTTCATAATAGCATCAGAAAAAGGGACATTCAGTATGAAGGGAAGTAGAATAGTTCCCTGGGGAGATGTAAGAGAAGCAGGGAAAGAAGGATGTGCTATGTCAGCAGGTCTTGGAAAGATTTCCTGTGACGATCCTTAATAACTACCCATATTCATTCCCTGCTTTCCTCATAAACATTTCTTCCTGTTTAAAGACACATGGAAGGAAGACAATAACTTCTAACTTGTAGTGTGCTGCAAAACATTTTCTCACTCAAATATGAACTTGCCTTGTAAAATGATTCATTTACCAAGTTTTCGTCAACGCATCTTCCTCCAAGGTGGTTGAAGACATCAACTGATAAATGCTGAATAACACACACTTTGCTTCCTCACAGAAAGAGTCCAGAAGCAAGCAGGACATTCTAGTCCTAAAATTGTAAGCTCATTCCAGATGCCAGAGGCAGCAGAAAAGGCTAGTGCTTTCAGTCAACAGTATACATTAATTGTGTTTTAGAATTAAGACATCTCATAAAATAGTTAAGCATCATTAACACCTTTAATTCTAGCACTCTAGAGGCAGAGGCAGGCAGATCTCTGAGTTCAAGGCCAGCCTGGTCTACAGAGTATGTTCCAGGATAGGCAAGGCCATACAGATAAATTATATATAATAACAGATTACTATTTAGTATTTTAATATCAACAAAAAGAGACAATAGATAAAGAAGTCTCAGCACTTGTGGAACCATAAAGAATGCAGCCCTTTTCTGACAGGACAGGCCACTGGTTCTACTTATTTATCTGTCCAGTGCTGATTGAAAAAGACTTAGCTTAGCACCTGCCTCCTCCTGACATCGAAGACTTCAAATGTCAGCCACTCAGCTGCACAATTCCATAAATAGAGCATGGTGATTGCAAGGTGCATGGGGGTGATAGGATGCAGGTTAATGTGCTTTCTTCTGCGAATTCTTTTCAAGCCATCCTCCTGTTCTGTTAGATATATACAACCTATGTAGGGGTTAGAAATGTCAGCGGACAAGGAAAATTTAGGAATTGGATTTCAATAACTTAAGAACACCGAATGGATAGCAAAAATAAGACTTGAAACCTCAACACCGTAAAGGGAGAAAAGATTCCCCAAACCTTTTAAGTTTTCAAGCATGGAATGAGCTCACTCAGTAGGGCTTAATGCTTTTGTTGTGCAATACAGTGGGAACATGAAGATGTCAGCATGTAAAAGGAAAGGAAACGAAATTCAGAGGCAACACCGATTTCCAAAGAGATGGGTACAAAAGTGGAGTTAGTTTAACTGGCAGTTTTGCTCCTCCAACCACATAATCCCCTCCCATGCTTTCCTTTTGCGGTAGGAAGTTATGAAGATTAGCTGTGTGGGGCTACAACGCTGAACATTCTTTGCATGTTTGAGTCGTAGGGTGTGCGAATTCTCCATAGTTAATGGCAAAAGCTGTTGTGAAGGGGGATCAGTTAATTCTCTCCCTTTCTGAGAACTTAGCCTCCCCAAGTGTCAGGTAAAGTAAGCACTCTGACCACTCTAGAGGAATGGATGCACCCTCACATTCTTTTTATCAGACCATCTCTAAACATGATAGTTTTTGTGACAACGGGCTGTCTTACTTAAACACACTCTTTTCTATGGGAAAGCGTGTGAATTTCCATGCAGTGACTGCTGGAATCTGGTTACCGTGTTTGACAAGGTTGCTCGTTGCACTTTCGAATTTGTGGCTCCGGCTTAGTTAAGTACTTGCATTTCGTGTTGTCCACAACACTGATATTCTTGTTCATGATTTTTGTGCACGACACTGTTGTCTTCCTTTCTCCTGCAAAGGGCATGATGCGATGTCATTACAGGCTTTTGTGAAATGGAGATTTTATATAGTTTCAACCTATTTTAGGTTATACCAATGGATATGATACCATTTGTTACATAACAAAAATGCCCCTCTAGCCTTAAGGGTTTTTCTTTAGTGGTAAGTGGCAGTCCCCATGTTACAAAGTGATGGCGGTAACACAAGTTAACATGATATTGACTGAAGATTTATTTTAAGGATCTGGCCATCTTTTGGCATTAAGTGGCAGAATGCCTTATGTCTAGAATATTCTGAGACTGTGTTCTATGATGAGAATTCCCAAAAGCACAGAAACAGATACATGTACACATTTCATTGCTAGTGTGTTCATTACCAGGGCTCTGCTGTGAGCTACACAAAACACCCTGGTTTTAGTGTACCCTATAGCTTTATCCTTAGTGCTTCTGACAAAAGTCCTAAGAATTCTAGACAGCCATAAGTTCATTATGGTTAAAAGTTTTTCAGAGTAAAAACTATTTGTATTTTGTGTTCACTTTTCTTAGAGACACATATACCACTCTGTTGATAATATTAGCATCACCTTTAAAGTCTAGTAAACATGTCATTTCGTTTTTTTCCTCAGTATAATTCTTACATATAGTATCCAAGTAAGAGATTTAATGATATATTTAATATATTGTTTAGTGTATTCAGCAACAAATATTAAAACCAGACAAGAGGTTATCTTGATTTTTAGATTCATTAAATAATGAAAATATCATTTGCAAACAAAAGCAATAATTTATGACAAACCTGGTTCATGAATAATTATGTGGGCATTAAAACTCAAGCTTGTAAAGAGCTTATATTATAAAGATGTTCCTATTATATCAAGTAATATAGAAAACAAAATCACACTTTACTACTAAAGAAAATACTTGAAGAAAAATGGTAATTATATCTTAGTGAATTTTCTTTAGCTAATGACATATATCTTGGAACCCACATAAAATAGTAACTTTAAAACTGAGAATCAAGACATTGATATTGCTAAAACATCATTTTCTGTTAAACCTATTCTAAAGTATTTCAAAGGCACAAGCATCTAAATGCCAAGAGCTCAACTCCAGTTTGGAGCTGAAGATTTGGTTACCTCCTTACACCTTCAATTCAGACACAAAGAGCAGCTGCTGCAAGCTGTGTGTGTGGTAAGATGGCGGGGAATGACTGCAAGGATGTGGAATATCCTGCCTCTTACCCTCTCCACCCCCTCTTCTTTGACTTATTGTTTTCCTCATGCTATATATTTTCAGGATACAAAGGCATATTGATAACATCTTCTCTCCCCCCAAAAGCCTCTCCCCATGTCCATTCCAAGCTTTCTCCTTTCAACTTGCCCACTGAAGTAAAGCCTGAGGGAATATGACTACTGCTGTTCCACACACAACCTTCAAACACCACAGGATGGCGGCACGTACTTTAATGCCTCTGTTGTGTTTGTCACTCACAGTGGCTCTTTGATATAAAATAGAACTTTGTAAGGAACTGATTTATCAAAATAAATATAATCTGTTCTTTCAAATATTTTTAGATGTTTCAGAACTCTAAAGCAAATATTTATTTCACAGGTAAATTTTAAGCTGATGGAAAATAAAAGGAATTGGGCTGGAGAGCTGGTTCAGGGGTTAAGAGCACTGACATTCTTGCAGAGGGCCTGGGATTTGACTCTCAGGACCCGTAAGACAGCTCATCTGTAATCCCAGTTCCAGGGGATCTGATTGCCTCTTCTAGTCTCTGTGGGTACCAGGCCTGCATTTGGTACACAGACAGATGTGCAGGCAGAATACCCACACACATAAAGTGAAAAAACTAAACGTAAGACAGTTTTAAAAAGAGGTATGGTATCGATGCCTTTAAGATATTTTTATTTAAGTTTTAAGGGTTTTTTCCGTGAATACTGTATTTACATTATTTCCACCTCTTTTTCCCCTTCTAACTTCTTTCATGTTCTTTCCCACTTCTCAAATTCATGGTCTCTTCTAAATTAATATTGTTTACATAAATACATGCATGTGTGTATTTGTTGTTTCAATAAATATATATATGTTAGATTGGATAACCTAACTGGGGGGGGGGTGTTCCTAGAGAAAACTGGCTGTCCCTCTCTGAGAAGCCACTGATTACCTGAAGCTCTTTACCTTGGGATGGGCTCCGATGGAATCTCTTCCATTTACAACATGGTATAGGTTGGTGCTATTATTATACAAGCCTTGGTTAGGCCATGGTGTTGTTGAGATTTTAAGGATGCCACTTCTGTGTCATGTCCAGAAGACATGACCTCACAGCTGGCATAATGGCTCTCCAACTTACAATCCTTACAACCCTTCTAGGATGTTCTCTGGGCTTTAGGTGTGGGGCTGTAGTAATACTACTACTTCTGCAGTAGTAAATATTCTATTTTAAGATAATACTCTGACCCAAAAACAATTGTCAGTGAAAGTGTTTGTTTTGGTTTGCAGCTCCAGAAGAAAAACAGTCCCTTACAGTGTTTATAGTACCAGGAATGAATTTATTACCGTGGAGCAATAAGTCAGCTGTTGGCTATGATAAAATTGCCACATTTCCGCACTGTGAGAATCTTGGTCATGCTAGCCATTGCTATCATTGCTAGCTTTTAAAGCTAGGTTGAACTATCATTTGTTGTCTCCCTTGGGCAGTTGCATATCACCTTCCAATATTATAAAAGACAGTGCCCAGGAAAAGGCTTCTAGATCATTTACAGACTGAATCCTCGAAGTCTTGTTGTCTATAGTGTGTGGTGTCTTCAGCAATAAAGGGTTGCCTTCAAATTCTGGCAGACAAGCAAGGGCAACAGCAATAGCATATACTGTTTAGGGGATTCTCCTTGACCAACAATCAAAAGGAATGTTCCCTTTATCTGACACTGGGATTTTTGTCCTATGTGCGACATGACGTGCACACAAATATTTCATATATTTCTAAGCAATCCTACAAAGTAATTTTTCTTATGCTTTTAAAACATTCTTACTGACACTCATCTATCCTCCCCCCATCTTTCTGTCTTTCTGCAATTACCCTTCCTCCTTCCTTCACAACCAAGGCCCCTCCCCCTTTTTACTCCTTCCCTCCACAGTACCTGCAACTTAATCTTTGTAAAGCCCAGAATGAAAGCTTTTATTAGTAAGTACCACATATATGTATTTATCTTTCTCTCCCCTCCCACACACATTGTGTTGCATGTAAATGTGAAATTGCTGTAAATGTTTGCTAGCAGTATTTTTTTGTAGTAGTCAGCTTACATAATTCCTTAAGAATTCCTAAGTTTTTGTATTCTATAATAACTGACATTACTAAACTTATATCAATTCATGATGAATTAAATTTTGCTTGAATTATAATATTAAAATGTCATTTAAGGTAATTATGATAAAAAACTTAAGCTAGGTAACACAACACATATTTCTTTTCTTCGCTTAGTATTGTGTGCTTAATTTTATACAATAAAATTGGAAGAGAAGAGGAAGATTTAAAACATTGAAATGTGATGTTGCCCAGTGATGCTACTAGCTCTCCCATATGGGCCTACAAAGATGCTATCATTCCTCATCTTTCTCCCGTGAATCTGTTTTGAAAGTTCTGTGTATTCTACGTACTCTAATTTACTTCACAAATATGCTGAAAGATTATGAAGTTCTTCCTGGCTATAAAACACTGCAAAGTTAGAGATGATGCCATTCTTGAGATAATGTCCATACACTTTATGAACTGAAAGGTGAAACAATATCCAAAAGCCCAGAAATATTTCGGCATTGAAATGAATATATGCCCAACTAACATCAAATCATTTAAAACTGTTGACTAAATAGTGGAATGCCATACAGAGAAGATCTGCACACACACACACACACACACACACACACACACACACACAAAAAAAAAAAAAAAAAAAACCCTGTAAGAACTACACGTAGAGGGAGTATTTTATAAAGCCAGTCAAGGGTATTGAAAATAAGCGTGGCTAAGGTTTTATCCAACTGTGTATTTTATGCCAGAAAGAGCTATATGAAGACTCTGAGCTACCCTTGAACATGGTATGATGAAGAGCAAAACCTTCAACTTAGGTGCTCCAGATTCTCATTCTGACTATGCCTACATGAACGGGTGGCATTGACATGCCATTATTCTCTAGGCATTCCAATGTCTTATGCTAGAAATTAAGTCACATTGAAGAACAGCTCATATTCCCACTGACTCAGAAACTCAGAGACTCCATATTGAATCTCCATTGTTTGTTGTTTAGAAATTGACAAACTATTGGCTATGACCCACAAAAAAGACTGTTCACCTTATTCAATTTCCTTTTCACACTGAAGAATTAACTACACTGATATAGCTTTTATCAGATCACAACTGCAGAGGAAAGAAAAATGAATATACTGCAGTGGGCAAGTCCTTTCCCGTCTAGATTACTAAGTGTAAATAGGTTTCAATGGCTGATTTCTCAGCTATGAAGTGGGTGATCAGTTGCTTTATTATTCTCCATTCTACCATCACATGGGATAGCTGCTGGAAGGTGGACTGCAGGCATGATTGGATATCCAAATTCTATTAAAGACCATTTGCAAGTGTGCATTTTCGTTTGGGGATGTTTGCTTCTGTTGGTGCTTTGACACACGGTCTGCTGGATAGGAGCAGAATCCCTTAATGGAGAATGCCCTGTGAAGAAGGGACAAGCAGAGGAATACAGTCTTGCAGACTTGGGTGTAGATGAGATGCCAGGATAGGAGAATGGGGAAACTGAGGAATGGTAGTAGCAGGAAGAAAGAACACATCCTCATGGCAATGATGAGTGATGAGAAGTTCCCAATCAAGCAGTGATATGGAATGTGTTTGTTGGAGTTCACCTTGAGAGCCAACTGTATTATGTAAAATCTCCCCTGCCTGCCCTGTGTTGCTTGCTTTGGCTGTTAAGGTCCCAGAGGGCAAGGGCAAGGGCATGGAAACTGCATGTGTCCTTTGCTCTCTGTGCCTTTAGATGCTCCCTGGGCCTCTGTGCTCCCTCACACACTATGTTTTGTCCTTGTTTTTCATGCTTCCTTCGCTGACAGGAACATTTTCTTGTTTATAAACAGTACTTATTAGATCTAGATAATATGGGCACTGGCTTTAGAATTCTCAACAAGACACTGTCCAAGTTGTCCTTCCCAAATCTCTGGGTTTTTTTTTTTTTTTTTTTTTTTTTTGTTTTTGTTGTTGTTTTGGTTTGGTTTGGTTTTTTACTTCACCATAGCCTCACTCTTCAAATAGTCAAATGACAGCCTCTGGGTCACTCTCTTTCATTGCTTGTGGATTCTGGCTCCCAGTGTATTGTTGTTTTGTTTTGACACTGCTCCTAGAAAAATTCTAATATTATCAGACCTGAATGATTTTCCCAGTGCCATATTCTCTGTTCCTGGGCATCTTTCTTCCAAACAATCTTGATTTTTCCCATTCATGCTGACAATAATCCCTTTGTTATCCCACTAACCCTTGTTTGTAACTTCCATACACTTTTCTCTATTTTTCTATCATCTCTTATGTTCCCATTCGGTTAGTGCATGGAGTCTGGCAATTTCTAAATCCAAACAGGCCCTGTAACTAACTTTACCACCTCTTCAATGTCCTTCAAGCACATGGATCTTTAATTTCCTCTTCAAACAACCATTTGAACTCCACACACAGTTTCATGCCATCATCACTTACTCCTTTCTTATTTTATGATATTCACTTGACTATACCCATTTTTGCTCTATAAGAGTATCTGCAAACTGTATACAGCCAGAAGGTACTGTACCATCATAGGGATTGAAGTCATGATAAATTCATGACCTGGAATTCAACAGGACCATTAGTGCTACTACAGACCAAAATACATGTTCCCACTAAGGAGCAGATGAAAGGACTGGCCTCTCCCTGGAGCACTGGCCAGATGTTAAACTTCACTAAAGCACTAATAAACTCGGTTAAAATTACTCAGTGTCACTGATAGTTTAAATTCCCATTGTAAGCCACCCCTTTGATACTCATTTTCCTGTAAATAAGCAAAGGCACTGGTGGATAGGGCAACCTATATCCCTAACATTATGAAAGCTGATCACTGCTTTCTATCTTTGAGAAAAAGCCATCCATACTACCCTGATACCAGCATGGATATTGACATACTATGATGACCTTAAAGAAACACAATGACCTTAATTGTTCTGCTCACCTCATGTGAAGCCCTGCCAGCACAGTTTGAAACACTTTTTACTGACTTTTTGTATCACCAGGCTTACTGAGCCCTAGGCCACCCTAAGCCACTCCTCTACGCTATTACTGAAGAGAGGATAAAGTCATGATTGGAGCAAAAAGAAATCTTCATTTGCATGAGAGTCTGCTGTGGTTGAGGAAAACAATTCTCTTCATAGAGAATTTTTCAGCACCCTTGCAAATTGGGTGAGGAACAGCCTCCCATGAGGACCCCTGTGTCATTGCCACATTGGTCCTAATACAAAGATTCCATTGAATGGTCAGATCTTGCCCACTTTTAATAGAAAAGATCAAGGAAGACCCATCAATGACAGACAAGCAATTAACATGCCAACCCAGAAAAGCACCAGACTGGTTAGAAGTAGTGACAGCTACAATTAGAGGTCTCAAGAGGGTCAGCCAACAGCAGCAGCAATAGCAGCAACAGGGAAGGACCTGGAGCAGTGGGTCTCCTACATGGCAGCTAATGACAGCAGCTGTATGGTTTGAGAGAGCAGCCACAGCAGGACCAAGAGCGACAAAAGAAATAGAGGGGATGCAAAAAAAGTTGCTGAAGGATAGAAGGCTGTAAGAAGTCATAGAAGAGAAACTGCAAGTCCTGGTCACTAAAAGAATTCCAGGGAGCTGCTAAGTCTTTAGGGCAAAATGTCTAATAGTCCAGGCTTACAAGCTGTAACACTGGGCAGTGGCCATGATAGAGGAGTTGGAACTTACTAGTTGTATTGGTTATTTTGTTGTTGCTTTGATAAGACACCATGACCAGGGCAACTTATAGATGAGTTTATTTTGGGTGTATGGTGACAGAGGATGAGAATCTACGATGGTGGGGCGGAGGTAGCAGGCAGTAGGTGGCTGTAGCAGCAGCTCACAGCTCACATCCTGAATTGCAACCAGGAGGCAGAGGGAGCTAACTAGGAATGAATGTGGTTTTTAAGACTTGAAAGTTGTCCCCAGTGACATTTCTTCAGTAAGAAATGGGGACCATGTATTCAAATGCCTGAGACTTATAGGTGACATTTCCTTCTAGCCACCACACTAGAGGAGTAAAAAATGCTACCACCAAGGCCTTCATGAGAGCACCTACTGTTGCTGTTAGATGCCAAGAGCTATAAAATATGCCCAAGAGTAGCCCTTGAAAAACTTCTCCTTGACGAGCCATGATCTGCAATCTGACCTAAAGATGCCCACCCAGGCAATTTACTACAACTCCATTCTTCCTGCCTTTTTCTAGGTGGGCACTTCATATTCCTCTTTTCAAAGCTCCTCTATGTCCCTGGCCATCCTCACTCTCAGCAAAGTGGCCTTCGTGGGGAGAATGGACACAGCTGAAAAGGAACTATTGTATGCTCCCAATTACTCATTTCATTCCTTCCCGTTCCATCTGGATAGTGTTCCAGCAATTTCTCACTCTCTCCTCATCTGATGCTCTCCTCTAGAAAACACACAATGGTATGTAATGCGTCTCATTTGAACCAAAAATGAAAAGAAATCCTTTGACTTACATCCCTTACAGCTACTGCCACATTTGCTTGTCTCTCCTTTCGATGACATGGACTGAGTTAGAGTTCCTGCCTTCAATTATTTTCCTTTCCCCCCCCCTTTCATATGGTGGCTTTGGAATTTTTACACATGAATGTAATATATTTTGATCATAGTCGCTCCCATCTTACTATATGTCCCCCCTCTCGCTGTCATCAATCCCCTTGCTCTTCCTAATTAGTCCTTCATCTAATTCTTTTGCTATTTTGCAATGAAATCCATTCTACTTGGTCTTTTGAGCCAAATATAGTATTAAAATTAATTTTTACAGGGTTAGCACTGACCTCTTTGTAGTAAAAAGAATGCATCTTAAAACATAAATGCTGACCAGTTCTTCATCTACATTGTTGCATAGTAGATATTGGTTGCTGGTCCTTTCCTCCCTGTAACACTTACAGGCCGTACAAACAGCACTATGGCTTGCATATTCGTCCCCTACACTGCCTGCTTTTCAAATTTAATCAGCTTTGCCACTTTCTTCTCCTCTCTAAACTCTCAATGGTAGAGCTTCCCAAATGTCGTTCTTCTAACAGCCTTCTCTCTATCATCAGACACCCTATGGGTGGCTCCTCCTATTCCATCAATTTTATTACATCATCCAGATGTTGCATATGAACAAATTAATATTCCCTCTCCCACATCAGACTTACATCCCCAGCTGCATACTTGACATCACATTTAGACCCACGGGCACCTCTAACTTCGGTTGAAGCCCTTAATTCCTCCTAATCCTGGCATTTCAGGCTTTCCTTTGTAATTAATGATGACTGCATCCTGGCATTTGGAAAAACCATGTTGGTCACCCTGACTCTCAAGCTTTGCATCTAGCCCAGCAGCGGGATCCAAGCCCAGCAGCGGGATCCATCCCTTCTCCTCCTCCCCTGCTGCTAAGGGACCTGGTTAATCTGTTCCCGTCATTGCTACAGTGTTTCACCTACCCCTTTGCTCTATTTCATCTGAGGAACAGAGAGAGGTAGGCTTACACCTGAAGACACTCAGTCCCCACACTGGAACACCCCCTTTATATACCTATCTCCCACAGAAGGAGGGCAGCATGCAGTACTACACATCCTGCGCTACACTTGCTTCCCTTCACCTCTGCTCCACACCCCAGCTGCAGCCAGCATGCCCCCTTAGAGTGTGACTCAGCATGACTTCTGCGGAGGGCTTGTCTGAAAATCTAGCTTAGGGAACACCTCCCTCTCACCTTCCCCTCCCTGCTTATTCTCCTCATTGTCTTATTTTAGTACTAGCATGTTTGCATGCAGCGTTTCTTTTATTATTCAGGATAGTTTTATCTGTGCTGCTTTTTTTGTTCTGTTTTGGTGTGGTTCCCTGGGAAGCTAAAACTTATCCTTTCAAGCTCTGTAATTAATTATGTTGTAATTTTTATGGGGATTACAATGGTTTCAGGTTGCTTTTGGTAGGATGACCATTTCTACTACTATATTAATCCTATCAGTCCGTGAGAATAAGAGACTTCCGTATTCTGAAACCATCTTCCGTTTCTTCCTTCCATGTTTTAAAGTTTTTTTTTTTTTTTTTTTTTTGGTTTTTGTTTTTAATCACACAAGTCTTTCACTTGCTTTGGTAGAATTACTGCAAGATATTTTTCTATGAGTTGAGTCTATTGTGAAAGGTGTTGTTTCTCTGACTTTTTCAAAGCGCCTGGCTACTTTGCTAAAAGTTTTTTGAGATGCTAGTAGTAGTAGACTGTGTGCTACAATCAAACACATTACTCTCTATTTAATAAATATAACAACCAGTCTCATGGCAGGAAACAGAACAACATAGCAGTAAGTAGCCTTTTCAGTTTGGGGAAGAAATAGTTCAGATGTTCCTCCAGCACACACAGATTGTAAAGAACATAGTTTCCAAACCTTTATGGGCTCTGGAATTATAAATTAGAGATTTCAGATCTATTGTAGTTATCTGTGGTTAATCAGGTTCGATGTTTTGAAAAGACTGGAGTTTTACAATTCTTCACCTCCTCCACAGGTGGCGTTGCAATCCTCCCAGCCTGCATGTGTCCACATGAAGAGGGGCTCTGGCTCCTTAGAGCTCTGGTTGTCTGGAAGTGGATCTGATGGAACTGTGTATTCATAGTGAAGACCATAGCTCTGATCCTGAAACAGAAGTACCTGTGGCATACAGAGTGGTAAGGAATACGATTTAAACCAGAGTACATTTACTGAGAAGATCTACAAATATACTGACATATGCCAGACATTAGTTTTAAAAATGTCAGGGGTTTTTTGTTTGTTTTGTTTTGTTTTCACGACTGGAGAATCACCTGTGAGCTAAACACATCATGATGAAAGCTCACTTGAATGCAGCCAGGAATACCCAATCATTTTCTTTACATTTGGTAGACCAGTTCCCAAAACACGATATATGCATATGATGCCATTTTGATGTATTTATGTGTTCTAGGGGCAGAGATGTGTGATGCATCTGATGTCAAGATATAAAATAAACTGGTGAGTTTCCACCCTTATAAAAGACAAAAAACAAAAAAGAAGGAAAGTCACTGAGACAGTATGGGGTGTGTTTCCCAGTTTTATGCCTACTTGACATAGCTAGAGTCATTTGAGAAAACATCTGCACCAGAATGGTCTTCAGGCAAGCCTATAGGGCTTTCTTGATTGATTATGGATGTGGGTGGTGGCCCCCTGACAGGTGCTCCTTGGTTATGTAGGAAAGCAGGTTGAGCAAGTTAGGAGGAGCCAGCTAGTAAGCAACACTCCTCCATGGCCTGGAATTCAGTTCCAATCTCCAAGTTCACTTCTTCACTTCAGCAATAGAGTGTGACCGCAGAGTTGTAAGCTGAATTAAATCATTTCCTTTTGTCATGTTGCTTTTGGTCACGATGTTTTATGACAGTAGAAACCCTATCTAAGATACAGGGTAAGGATGGAGACTGGAGATAACTACTAATAATGGCAGTGAACATCTGAATCATTAGAAGGGTGATATTTTTGTTCTCTGGATGTTTACAATTTGGGCAATGTATATATTTAAATGAATTTAGATAAAAATTAGAACGGTAACAGCACAGTTACACAAAAGAGTTTAGTAAACTATAATGGGTCAATGGGCATGACTTTAAGCCTACACTCTGCCATTTTGGTTTTCACTGGTATCCAATGTCAAGGTCAGAATGGGATCATCATGGATGTTATACCAAAGTAATATATGTATATAATATACATAGTATATACATATATCATATATAACATATATGTGCCTTTGCACATATTTTAAACAAAGGAGAATAAATGAATTTGTATGTGTTTTAGAAAAATTTTCATGAGATATGTTAAATAACTATATGAAGTATGTCATGTCTATGATCTAATAATCTGTACAAATAGTTGGTACATTAATTTATATATATTTCTTTAAAATATGTGTTTGGGAGGCATAATGAATATTTAACCATTGTCTAGAATAGTTATAATAATAGGTGATTCAGAGTTAATACAACTTGCAAAGACATTTAAATGTGCCCAAGATTAAATATGAACATTTCAACTAAATTTTCCTTACTTTCATGTTTTGTTCAACATATTGAAAGAAGTTTTACAACATACTTGATGTGTGGATTATGCAATTTGTATATTGACTTTATGCCCATCACCTCAATGATATAATTAATACTTTTTTGTTTTTTTTTTTTACATTTTCAAATGTGAAACCTACTGTACTGTGATATTACATCACAGTACTGATTTTGGCTTAAATATTTCATCAGATGTTGCCAATCATAAGTTACTTTCAACCTAATTAAAAATGAGTGCAAGTTTGCATTTTTTATTGTTATGACAATACTATCATGTAACTTTAAATTTAGCAAAATGATCATTACCAATAACTCTTTAATAATAGGAAAACAGTCCTGTTTTCCCACATGAGCTGCCCTTTTCAAGGATAGAACTTCAAACTACACTGAACATCTAACACATTGAGAATTGAGTGATTGGCCACAGAACCAAGAGCTCTTTTATAAATCATTTGACTTGGGCAGAATCCTTTGCAAAAGGAAAGTGTGAGCATATTACAGTCAAGGGCACATATTGAGGAATGGCAGCAAAGACATCGCCTTTCAAGTCAGTACCAGTTTTCAATCTGCAATAGTCATTAAGGAGAAATATCTTAGAATTACAGTTTCCTTTGGATTACCAAATAAATCCAGGTCACACACATACCTTCTTTTGGACATAGTTCACTGAGCTAATTATGATCCACAATTCCAGGAAAAGACTTGGCAATTATTAGTCAGATTAAGGGCTCTGTTGTAAGAAAAGTCGCTGACTCTAGGGTCTGGCATGAGCTGCTTTCAGACTGTAAACAGAGGCTGTTACATGTCTCCGTCTTGTGTTGTTTTTTAGTTTAAAACTCATGTATGTGGTTATAGAATGCAGGCAAATATGTCAGTGTTTTTCAATATCAAATCATTGAAATTGCTTGCTATTGATGTTACGTTATAGTATTTAGTTAAAGAAGTATATTCCCCGTGATATAGATACTTTTGTTTCTTTCTCTAGATAGCATAGGACAGAGACCACTTTCTAACTGAAATTATCAAAAAGCATATAAAGGAACTGTGAGGAGACAATGTATATTTATGACTCAATACTTATACAGAAGAGACAGATCTGAGCACTAAGTCTTAGTGAAAATGAAACCATGTTTGACAACATTGTACATATTGTTTAACCTTCTTACACAGTGCAACCATGTGGATTAAATGCTTCGATCAAAGGCAAAGTCCCCTGGTCAGCTTCCTATCTGTAGTGCCCAGTGGATGTGTTATTTACACTGGACAGAAAGCACACACACGGCTGGCTCTCTGAAGTAATAGAGATACTGATAGCTAAAGAAAGACCAGTTCATCTTCTGTGAAGATGTTAAATAATGTGACACACTCCACTACAAACAAGTGAGTCCATTGTGTTTGAATGTTTATCTGTGCTTGGGCATGCAGAGAAGTGTTGAGGTCTTTGAATTTTGGGCAACTGAATAAAAACTCCCTCTATAGAGTTTCTCATCTGTACAGTCACTCATCTGAATACTTAACCATCAGCTCTCAGTGTCTTGACAAAAAGCACATGAACAACCCAGCAACCCAGTCCTTTCCCTTTCACTCTTAATGCACATTTAGGCTTTTGATACATGGTGAAGAGCATTCGAGTTCCAACCTATGAAACTGTGCAGTGTTCAGAGTTTAGAGTAATCCATTAACCTAGTGAGAAACACAGAAAGGAGACTAAGAGTTCTCTTAAGATGTGTTTACCAAATTCCTCTTCTCAAAAAAATGTGTTATCAAAGGTACATTCTGCAGACACAGATGAGTCCCAGTAAGTGGACTTGGCTTGCTGTAATCCCCAGGCTGTGGCTCTGTCTTGATGAATATCTATTCTGGTTAGCAAGTGATGCTTTTAGGGGGAAAGAGTTCCTTACTCCTTGGTGGTGATCGATTTCCACTGTCAGCTTTTTAATACCCAAGAACGTCTTGCTCTACTTTTAACAATTACTATTTCTAGGTACCATGATTTAAAGTATTTTAGAGTTCCTGCAAATATATCTCTTAAACAATTTTAAATGCTGATCTGACTATTCTGATTTTAAGAACAGATGGGGGAAGGGAGGGAGAGGGAGAGAAGGAGGGGGAAAGAGGGGAGAGTGAAGAAGGAAAGTGGAGAGGGGAGAGAAGAGAGCTCAGCAATTTCTTTGCCATGAGAAGCTTTCTGCAACACTACTTGAATTTCTTCCCCTTACCAGGAGATGTAAAGGTGTGGTTGTAGGACCTTTGGCAGAGATCTTCTCCCACAGGCCTCGTCTTATGTAATGGACTGTAGTTCCAGCTAGATTGAATGTTCCAGAATGTTCTATCTTCCAGTCACTGTTTATCGACTGTTTGCTAGCATCTCGAAGAGCTATAAAAAAGATGAAGTACAAAATGAGTGTGAACAACACTACTGATGGGTATCATCTTGGCCTTATTTTGTTAAAAGAATTCAGTGTATCTTCCTACTTTGATACAAATTTTCAGTCACTTGCCTTGTTGCTACTGAAGTCAAAAGAATTTTCAATGATCTGTTCTATCTCCACCAAAAGCTACTCTGCTGCTTGTACTTCCAGCGACACAAGCAACAAGCTTATGAAAGTACTGAAATTTACTGCAGACACAAGCAACAAGCTTATGAAAGTACTGAAATTTACGGCATCAATCTTCCCTACAAAATAGTTCTTATCATAAAATATCATAAAGGGAAGCTAAACAGGCACACACATCCTTAGTTTCATGAGATTAATGTCTGTTAATCCTTATTGAAAGTAAAATATATTGATGGAGATATCTCAAACATTGCCAGTGTCCGTTACAACCAACAAATGGACATACCTTAGACAATGTTAAAGCTTTTGGGGAAAAGAGGAAAACTATTAATGGCTATGTTTATAAGGTTTATCATTTGCTTATATTTTTGTAAATTTGCATTAAATATTTTGAGAAATACTTTTGTCTAAGTTTGCACATGCATCAATATTTTCCCAGTTCCTTGCTTATATCTCAGGTTAAAAGGATCAATTCATGGTTTCTGATAATTTCTAATAAGAATGCCTTAAAACTCCTCTTGGAGTTTATAGAATATGATAATCAAAATTTATTCACATCTTGGCTGTCAAACATTTCCCAGAAAATGGCATACACATGTACATGCAAATCCACCCAATTTACTGGCTTGAGTCACTTCATTCAGAAGCAGGACATATCGTGTTTCTTGACTATTTTTGTTTAACTTCATTACATTAAAAAATAATTTTCTTTAAAATGTTGCTTCTGGCAATTAGTGGAACTTCTCTGCTTCTCACTAGACTATGTGGGGAGAAATTTTGGATGACTGGGGGTGGAGAACAAAGCTGGTATAATCTCTAAGATTGTTTGCCTGTCTTCTGAGGATATTTACCAGATGGCCCACTGGGAGGTTGATCGCCCACTGGGAGGTTGATCTTATGCAGGGCACAGACTGGGTATGCTTTGTGGAAAGGGGGAGGTACTAAGAATGGAGTTCTAAGAATGTAGTTCACATTGGCTAAGACAGCATCTGTTTTTTGGATGACTGGAGACCAGTGAATTAAAAACAAACAAACAAACAAAAACAAAACAAAACAAAACAAAAAACAAAAAACAAACAAACAAACAAAAACTCCTAAAACATTTACAGGGGACTTTTGACCTTATAGCTGAATATGCAACTTCAAACAAATAGGGTGTGACTCTCCAAAACTGGGAAAAGAACAACTGCTAAGAACCTAAGGACTTTTAGACTTTTCAGTTCAAATAAGTATGCAGCAAAATGCAAATGGTAGGTAATTCCAAGATGAGTTGCTTTTGAATATGGAGAAGCTAAATACAACAACAAAAACAAAAATAAAGATTTAACAGACCTCATATCAAAGCAACCTGAGTCAATTCAAACAAAACTTTAAAACACACAAAGACGAGATCGGGCAATTTTAGGAATAGAAAAGGAGAGAGAGAGAGAGGGGGGGGGGAGAGAGAATGATCATAAAAGAGAGAGCCATTATTGGTTTGAAGAAAAAACTGAACCTAAAGAAAGGTCTAGAGACCTACAAGACTGCTGCAAACTAACAATTTGAGCAACCATGGAAAGGCTACCATAAATGCCCTTCCCTGATAGAGAGATCAACAACTAACTTATCCACCATCATGGAGCTCTCATCTAGTACCTGTTGGAAACAGAAGCAAACACCCACAACTAAACACTGAGTTGAAATAGAATCCAGATGCAGAGGGAGAGGACAAGACCAGGTTGCAGAAACACATAGAGACAGCTGATCTGGACAAAAGGAGCTAATGGGCCCCAGACTGATAGCTGGGAATCCAGTTTGGGACTTAGACCCCCTGAATATGGGTCTCAGCTAGAAGGACTGAGCAGTCTAAGGGACCTCAGACAGTGGTACCAGGATGGTGCACAAAAGGATCTTGTGGACACATCCCCCATGGAGGGATACTCCCTTAATCTAGAGATAGGAGAAAAGTCCTAGTCCCTACTTCAAATGACTTGACAGATTTACATGACCCCACCTGGATGGCATTGCCCTACATGGGGAATTGGGGTGGGGGGATGGGAGGGGAGGGTGGTCAGGATGCATGTGAGGGGGGAGAGAGGGTAAGAGGGAGGGGCAGAGGGAGGGAGGGAGAGGGAACTGGGATCAACATGGAAAGTAAAAAAAAATAAAAATAATAATAAAAAGGAATTCTAATGCTTATCAGCTGTTTGCATTTCATCTTTCAAGAACACTCTACTTAGTTCTCTGTTATAAAAAGTGATATTTTTGTTTTTTCAATAAACTAAAACCAGGCCCCCCCCCAAAAAAAAGAAAGAAAGAAATGCTGCTGGATTAATCCAATTTATATAATTTTAAAAATACTCTGACTCCAAAATTTAAGTCTAAGGACAGGTTACTGGGGAAAAGGATTTCTAATTTTGTTTCCACAGAAAATGAAAAGCTACAGATTCATTCCAGACTAATGTGGTTTGATCAAGCCTGACCCCCTGAAACAGAGTCCCAGGTTACCCAACATTCAAAACAGTTGGGACAAGCCAGCCTTGCAGACTACAGCCAGGATTTCATCTTCTTCTTAGGAGTCCCCATGACTTTCCTAACATCAGGAAGCAGTTTGGAAAGAATGATGCCCAAATTCTCAAATATTGTTTATAAATGTTTGTTTTTATTTAAATGGGGTTGGTTATAAATGGTTAATGACCACAGCTAATCTTTTTAAAGTTAAAAATGGAATTATGGTATAGATATGAATACTTTGTTTTGGAATGGATTTTCATTTATTGATATAAATTTAAGGTCATTTTGTGATATGTATATTTCTCCTCTTGTTTAGGTATTGTGTTTATAAAGCTCATTTATGTAATGTATAAATTAGTACAGATTATAAATAGTTACCTATGATAGTCAAAACTTAGAGTTAAGTTACTTAGGTTTTCAAGATACACAGAGATGTATTTGAGATGGATAGGGATTCTTCAAACCTTTCAAAGACCTACAGAATATGGCATGTAAAATGATTTAGGGTTTTTTTTTTTTTTTTTTTTTTTTTTTTTTTTTGACAGTGAGACATAACTGCTCCTGGCAATACAACCTGCATCAGAAAGGAAGATGGACATCGAAGGAACTCATTATGGAGTTTACTTCCAATATGGCAAGATACTGCTCTTGTCTGGACTGTTTGACTTTATGCTATATAAACTGGACATGCAGGACCCACAGGAAAGTGACTGTTGATACAAGATGGACATTGCTACAGGGTTCTTGTTTCATGGAAGAGTCTGCCAGACAGTCTACAGGTCACAGAGAAAAATGACTAGCAAATTGCCAATAAGGTGGATAGTTTAAAGTTACATGCTTTGCTGAGGTGTCTGCCAGATGGCTGAAGATGGAACATTATAGAAGAACTTTGGGTGACTGGCCAGGCAGTGAGTTGTCTCTGTCATTTCTAGAGTTTATATATTATCCTTCTGTGGTCTTTGATGGAGTTGAAGACAGATAGTTATGGTTATAGGTTTCCTTAGTTAGGATCAAAGATAAGTTACATCTAAGACTTTAGACTCACAAAGATAGGATAGATGACAGAATATTTTCTTTAAATCTTACTAAATGTTAATGAACTAAATATTGTTTACTGTGATTCTTATTTGATAATTGTTGTGTGATATATTTTGCTATGCTAAGGATAAAACCCTTCATTTTACTTTAGACAGAAAAAAGGAGATGATGGGAGATGTCATTCTGTAAATAATGTTTCTCTCATTGGTTAATGAATAAAGCACTGTTGGCCAATAGGAAAGCAAGACAGGTGGGACTAGGAGACAAGGAGGAGAGAGGAAGTGGTAGGGAGGAGATCCAAGATGGAAGATGGAGACAGCAGAATGCTAGCCCCTCTCTCCGGTAAGATAAGACCACGTGGAAGTACTTAGGTTGATAGAAATGGGTTAATAATTAAGACAGAGCTATCTAATAAGAAATGCTAGTAACAGGTCAACAGAATTGTATCAAAAAAAAAAAAAAAAAAAAAAAAAAAAAAAAGAAAAAAGAAAAAAGAATGGTAGCCAAGCAAGCTGGTAAACAGCATTCCTACTTTGGTTTCCTCTTCAAGTTCCTTACATTCTTGCCTTGACTTCCCTCAATGATAGACTGTAACTTATAAAATAAAATATACCATTATATACTACTTCCTTGCAAAAAAATAGAGAAGAATCTATTTTCAATAATTTTTAAAAATAAAACGTAACATATTCTGAATCAGAATAAAGGGTGCTAATACAGGAGCATTGAAAGCCCCTTGGTGGTGCACATCTCTTAAGAAAACCTACTTTCCCTTCCCCAGCAATTGTCAATTACCAATAGCTTCTCAGCTCGTGGAGGAACTTCATGAGCTCCTCCAGCATCCATGCTGGAATTTTTACATGGAAAAATAACTACTGAGGTCAAGTGTGCAACAGCCTGTAATGTCCATAAAATGCTGTTTCTCTATTGATACCTACTAATCTGACTTTAAGAATCTTTCAGTTCCTCTCTTGCCCTACACCCATTTACACCAAGTGGACTCGATGGGATTTACAGAAGTCCACAAACCTTAGGAAGGAATAGTGGTGGAGAGTAAGGAAATTTGGAGGGACGTGAAAAAGGGATGGATTTAATAAAACCACATTATATATTTTTTAAAAAACCACATATGCAGCTGATCCTGATATAAATTAACTCTTTAGCAAAATGAGGTTTAGACTCAGTAATAAAGAAAATGTAACATCACCACTCATCCATGCTTTGTTAATCATCTTCACCACCCAATTAAAAACTTGCTGGGATGTAATCACCACAAAATTGGCTTATT